GTGAGCTTTTCTAAATGTGATAACTCCTGACAGTTTAGTTCACTCAGAGGTGAGCTTTTCTAAATGTGACAACTCCTGACAGTTTAGTTCACTCAGAGGTGAGCTTTTCTATATGTGATAAGCCCTGACAGTTTAGTTCTCTCAGAGGTGAGCTTTTCTAAATGTGATAAGTCCTGACAGTTTAGTTCACTCAGTGGTGAGCTTTTCTATATGTGATAAGTCCTGACAGTTTAGTTCTCTCAGAGGTGAGCTTTTCTAAATGTGATAAGTCCTGATGGTTTAGTTCACTCAGAGGTGAGCTTTTCTAAATGTGATAACTCCTGACAGTTTAGTTCACTCAGAGGTGAGCTTTTCTAAATGTGATAACTCCTGACAGTTTAGTTCACTCAGTGGTGAGCTTTTCTATATGTGATAAGTCCTGACAGTTTAGTTCTCTCAGAGGTGAGCTTTTCTATATGTGATAAGTCCTGACGGATTAGTTCACTCAAGCTAAAACAGCACCTGAACATGGATGGCTGGTGCCTCTGTAAATAAATTATTAATGGTCAAGGTAGTTCACTTAGAGGTGAGCCTTTCTAAATGTGATCAGTTCTGACGGTTTGGTTCCCAAGGTTCACATTTCATAATTTGTGTTTTTGGTACAGTTAAAAAAGGGACGAAATTCAGCCTGATATACTTTTTGGACCAAATTGTCAAAAAGAGTCATAAATATTGACTTCGGTTTGTTTTTTAAAAAAATTTAGAATGTTTTTTTCACATGGCTCTTGAGCTAGACATGGCGTTTCTGACTTCTAAGTGGAAGAGTTGATGCTGTGACTGTCAGTGGTGTAGGTGTGTGGTGAAAGTGTTGGCATTTGATGAAATTGAGCGTGTAGACTGTGTTTGTGCATATTTTAACATATGTGAGGCATTGTAGTGAAATCAGTTGCTCGTCAAAATAATGAAACCGAAAAAAAAGGCATTTTTCCTCCCGTTTGACAATTTTTATTGAATTTTTGTTTTTTTATCTCAACTCCTTTTATGTCTATGTAAAAACACCCCCATGTGAATTTTACTGAAAAATGTTGATTAATGGCACAAAATATGTCAATTTTCAGTTTCCAAGGACTTTCAAGATAGAGAAGTTACAACACTTCGGCGGCCATTTTTTGCTCATTTTACCTCTGAAACCAGGCGACCCTTACCTCTTTCAATTGCAAATATTTCGACGTCCATTCAACAAAGATGGATATCTTTTTCACCAAAAGCAATGCAAATGAAGAGGCTTTAAGATGATATCAATAACCCCATATGCCTAAAATTTGATGAGCGCCTGACTCCACCACGTCGTGCCACCTGACATATGAATATTTAGGTGCACAGCTGTGCAGGAGATATTTTTTCCTGCCAGTTTCCATCAGGTAGAAGTTTGAAGTCTGGTACTGCTTATTTAATTTTTTATTTTTTTTTGCATTAGATGCACTCTCAGGAAGGCGGGCTGCTACTTTACAAAGAAAGTGTTTGATTGGAATTCCCAGTGTCAGAGGTCAAGGGGAGGCCACTTAGAACCTGGAGAAGCGTCACAGAGAATGATGTACCCTACGGAAAAGTGGGAAGATAGTGAATAATGTCAAGAAGTTAGGCCAGGATAGAGAAATGTGGGAAGTGTTTGTTCATGACCTATACCTTGCCTTAGACCTGGGTGAGAAAGGCAGTGATGATCATGATGGTGGCTACTTTTTTCAGCTGCTAGTTTCAGCTGAGTTGAGAAGGAAAGGATTTGCTCCCTTGAGCGGGTTCCCATGTATTTACAGGGCGCGGTGGCGGAATCCCGCGTATTTACGACATGCGAAGTGTTTAAAAAGTCAGATTCATGGTGAACTAGAAGGCAAAACCTCCCACAATGTCTGGACTTGTTTGTTTGTTGTTTCCTTCTGTGTCGTGGGTGGTTGGCAGGTGCTCTGATGTGGTTTGTTTCTTCTTTCCTATCAAACATCTGTCGGCTTTATCTCCCCTCCATCTTTTTTGTGTTTGTTACTCTATTGTAACACCTCTAATCTTCGGCACTTATATGACCTTATTGTGTTACAAGTGCCTTAAAACACTTTCACTAAAACCTATACCTTCTGCGACGGTCAGGCCACAACTGCAACGTGGGCTCCATCGTGTTCCACCCGGAGGCCACAGTGGGCCTGGAGGACAGCCTGTGCTGCATGGCTTCCTGTGGTCAAGACGGGACGGTCAAGCTCTGGAACCTGGAAAGGTTTGTCACCGTCTGTGAATGTCTGAAGGGTTTGTGAGTAGGTGGTTGGTGGGTGCTCTGGTGTGGTTTGCTCCTTCTTTCCTTTCAAACATCTATAGTCCTGGTCTCTCCTCCTTTTTTTGTGTTTGTTACTCTCTTGTAACACCTCTAATCTTTGGCACTTATATGACCTTATATTGTTGCAAGTGCTGTAAAACTCTTACTAAAACTAAATAGTTTGTTTTCGCTCTGTGAATGTCTGGCAGATTTGTCGTACTCTGTGAATGTCTGACGGGTGGTTGGAGGGTGCTGCTGGTATTTTTTTACTGCCCTTTTATTGTCAGAGGTGCTGATTTTCTGGATGAATTCTGAAATGGGAACCAAAGCAGTGCTACTGACTGAAGTGTCTTTAGGCCATTCCCGATGGGGGGGATATTAACATGTTCTTATGCACAGGAGAATTGTAAATTGGCTGATTTATCAATGTCATGCTCATACTGTGCTGGAACAACATATGGGGAACTGCTGCTTTTTCTTTTCTCATCCTTACTATCGTCATTTTTCCTATACTTCTTTTATATGCTTGTCACTCTCTTGTGAACTGCTATTTCCAGGGTGCCTTGATATTCGAAGCAGACTTTGTGCTAGAGAGGTGAGCAGAGTAAGCCTGATTCCCTGTTCGGACTTCTCTGTTGACATCCACCCCTTGGCGCTCACACGACCTTATGTTGTTGCGAGCGCTGTAAAACTTTACTAAAGCGAAACGATTTTATTGCTTTTCTTCTTCCAGGTGTAAATGCTTTTGTTAATTGTGCCAGCTTTCTTCTTTTTAGCTCCAAAGTGTAAATGTTTCCAGAACTGTGAATTAATTCCTTGAATGATGTCTAAGATGTCCACCAGTCTCAGACAACCACTTTTCTTGCCGATGGGTGGTTGTCTTGGACAATTTTGACCGCATGTAAATTTTTCTGTTGCAGCGAGGAGCCCCTGGCAGACATAGAGGGCCATGCCCCCTACCGAGTGTCGAGAGTGAAGTATCATCCATCCGGTCGCTTCCTGGCCACCTGCTGGTTTGTACCTGCTTGTTTTGTGTTGAAAATTAACACCTTACCTGCTTCGTACCTGTTTTAGACCTGCATGTTTGCCGACAATCATCTGAAATTGGACAATCACATCCAACCTGCGAGCCAGCTGATGCTATGGCTAGGCCCACCTGTATTAGTCAATGTGCGAAGTGCGAGACCTGGCCGACTGCCAGCACCCCCTTTTTCTCCCGTCGGCTTTGTCGGCACTTTCGTTTTCGTGCCGACTGTCGATGTCGGCGTTTCCAACCTAATTGTCGGGACCTGAGTAGAAATATGTGTAGGAAAAAGGACGACAGCCTAAATTATCTCTACTTTCAGTTTCCTGCTCCAACGCCCATTTTGAATTACGTCTGTTGACTGATTGTTCAGACCATATGGATTCATTTAAGTCCGACTCACTTGTTCTACTAGATCTATCTATCTAGGTCTAGATTTATAGATCTAGATCACTATAGACCTCAATGGAGGATTCATATTGCAATTCTATTGTGTAAAACCCTATTATAGGTTGTGCTATAGGCCTAATATTAATTTTGGTAAAAAGCGTAAATTATTTATATAGAATAGATTCTAGAGTCTAGACTCAGCTGAGTTCCTCTGTTCGGAATCGGATGCATATTTCTCTTTCAAGGCCTATTCCTATTCACTTGTTCTACTACTACTAGATCTAGATTTATTTAGATTACTATATGGAGGATTCATATTCCAATTCTATTGGGTTATTGTGTCAAAACCGTATTATAGCAATGTAGGTCATATTATGCTCCTTGTTTGTTTTGGAGTGTGGGTTTTTTTTTACTTGTGCTGGTCTTTTTACATGAGGGCTGTTGCAGGTTCTTTTTTGGGTTAGGGGTAGGTTTGGGTTAGGGTTAGGTCTCTTCTTTATTGTGTTTGTTGGGCTGGTCGCTGGTTACACGGAAGTCCTTCCTTTTATGACACCCAAAATGGCGCAAGATTTTCAATCTGGTTGAGGCTCACATGCAGGTCTAGGCAGACTCAACTGTACTTCAGGCTCAAATGACCGCTAGATCGGAAAAGTAACGTAAAGTACCCCACTGTACCTACATTTAAAAGATATTTAACAAGCCTTGTCTATTTCCACCCCCTCCCCCCATCCCTACAGCTATGACAACTCATGGCGTCTGTGGGACCTGGAGGCCCAGGAGGAGGTGCTACACCAGGAAGGTCACAGCGCCCCCGTCTACGACCTTGCCTTCCAGAGCGACGGCGCCCTCAATGTCACTGGGTGAGATTAATTTGTCATCACTGATAGGTCAGGATCGAGGTTTTTAGCTTCTGAAAAGCTTCAGAAAAAAAGTTTTTTTGTGGTCTTATGTCTGAGAAAAGTATTCGTATATGTCTTGTGTTTGTGATTTATGTGTCACAGTGTGGTGGAAATAGGCACTCGTCAGTTTTTGGGCGTGTGGCATTATTGGTATCATTGGGAAGCTTAATATATTTGCCTTGCTTTCTGTGAAGCTATAAATACTCATCTATCTTAAATAGAAGTCGAGATTGAAGGAGGTGGGGGTAGCCTGTTTTAAGAGGTAAGATAAGCGAGAAAATGGCTGCCAACTTTAGGTAACTTCTATAGCTTCAGAGTCCTTGAAAACCTAAAAGTTTATGTATTTTGTGTCGTGATTCTACGTCTTTCAGTTAAATTCACATGAAAATGTGCTTTTATATGGACATAGAAATGTTGAGCCAAAAAACTGAATTCTGGGGGGAAAATTTCAAAATGTCGGAAAAATGCCTTTTTCTTCGATTTTATTATTTTGGCGAGCGCCTGATTTCATCGCGATGCCTCACATATGTCTACATATGTCTTGTGTTTGCAATTTCTATATTGTGAGTTTGAGACATGTGGCTGTGATCAGCGTGTTCTTATAGAAAGGCTCACCCCTTCATTGCTATTATTATCATTATTATTTTTAGTAGTCTTATAAGTGGTAGTATTATTATTTTTGGTAGTAATAGTAATATTATCTATTATCTATTTGTGGTGGCCGAATTTTGCTATTCAAAAGGTTTTTTAATGGCTGCATCGATCGACATGCGGTTTTCGCCAAAAGATTCTTTAAAATATTCTCCAGAGCATGGCGACCTTGGTTTTTTCAGTTTTGAGACAGTTTTGCTGCAAAAAGCTAAATTTCTTTATTTCGCCGATCGCTTTTGTAGGCCGACGCTTTTCTGTCTCTGTAATTTTAGAAAATCCGGAAGGGATATTTCGCGAGGCACGTTTTGTTTTGAAAGTATAAATCTAGACCTTATATTTTTTTTCATCTTTCAAGATGTATTGCCCCGTTCCATTAGAGTGTAAATATAGTTGGCCAATGACTTTTAGTTGATGTTAAAGCACCGGCCTGGACGGTCAGAGAACGGTTAGTATAAGGTATAGGCACCGCCGATCATTCCTTTCATCGAAAGGGGGCCCAGTTAGTTATTGTTATAAGTAAAAGTAGTAGTAGAAGTAGTATCATAATAATTATTATGGTCTTGTCTATCCCTCTATTCTCCTACCCCCACCACACCCCCTTCTTATTATTGTACTCTTATAGAAAGGTCAACTCCTTCCATGCCTCATAAGCAACTTGTGTATTATCTTTGATTCCAAATCATAATCATTTTTTGAAAGGTCAGACCGATTTTTTGTGCCTATATTTGATTAGTTTATGATGTACCTTGTACATAATGTGCCCTGAGCAACTAAGCAGTATGTGGGTGGTTGCAGGTTGCTCTGATGTGGTTTGCTTCGTTGTTCCTATCAAACATCTATCGTCCTGATCTGTCCTCCTTTTTTATGTTTGCTACTCTCTCGTAACACCTTTTATCTTCGGCACTTGCATGACCTTATTGTGTTGCAAGTGCCGTAAAACTCTTACTAAGTGGGTGGTTGGCAGGTGCTCTTGTGTCGTTTGCTCCTTCTTTCCTATAAAAATTCTATCGTCTCTATCTCCCTCCTTCTTTTTTGCGTTTGTTACTATCTTGTAACACCTGTAATCTTTGGCACTTATATGAGCTTATTGTTTCGCAAGTGCTGTAAAACTCTCCTCCTATGTTTGCTACTCTCTTGTAACACCTCTTAACTTCGGCACTTAACTTATATGACCTTATTGTGTTGCAAGAGCTTAAAACTCTTACTAAAACTAAATAACTTAGCAGTGTGTCATCTCTCTTCGATTCAGGGGGCTGGACGCGTACGCCCGTGTGTGGGACCTCCGGTCGGGTCGCTGCGTCATGTTCCTGGAGGGTCACCTTCAGGCCGTGCTGGCCGTAGACTTCAGCGACGACGGGTAAGTCTCTGCTCTTTTTCACGACAGTTTGGTGCGCCAAGGGGTGGATGTCAATAGAGAAGTCCAAACGGGGAATCAGGCTTACTCTGCTCACCTCTCTTGCCTCAACAACACAAAGTCTGCTTCGACTATCAAGGCACCCCGGAAACAGCAGTTCACAAGAGAGTGACAAACATACAAAAGAAGTAGAGGTAAAATGATGATAGTAAGATAGCTCATATGGCCTTATGCAGTTGCAAGCGCCGTAAAACTTTTCTAAAACTGAAGTAAAAACGCCTGTTTCTCTGTTTCGGTGCGTAACCAGTCAATCGTTGTGTGGTTCCCCAGATACCATGTTGCCACTGGCAGTGAGGACAACAGCACGAAAATCTGGGACTTACGGCAGCAGAAGTGCGTCTACACGGTGCCGTCCCACACAAACATCGTATCTGCGGTCAAGTTTCAGCGTAAGTTCCCACTGTTGATTTGAGTTGAGCCCTTATTTGTTATCGCATCGATTAATGTTTTTCTTTAGTCCTCCAAGTGTTGCTGGCAATTAGTCTGTGGTGTCAGGGAAAATTGTATGTGTCACGACACAGTGGAATCAGGCACTCGTCAGTGTTTTGGCATATGGAGTTATTAGCATCATCTTAAAGGTTATTCATATACATTGTATGCCTTGCTTTCGTCGAAAAAAATATCCGTAAAATTTATCTTGAATAGAAGTCGAGATACTTGCAATTGAAGGAGGTGGGGTCGCCCTATTTTCAGAAGTAAAATTAACGAGAAAATGGCCGCCAAAGTTTGGTGACTTCCATAGCTTAAGAGTCCTTGGAAACTGCAAAATTACATTTTTTGTGCCTTTAATGATTGTTTTTCTATAAAGTCCACTCAGAAAAGTGTTTTTGAATGGACGCACAAGGTGTTGAGCCAAAAAACAAAAATTTGAAAAAAATGTCTAAACTGGCTGAAAAATGCCGATTTCTCGGATTTAATTATTTTGATGAGCGCCTGGTCTCACCACAATGCCTCACACATGATGAATAATGACACCATGTTATGTTGGAAATGCCTGAGAATAGGCGAACCGGGCAAATCAAGGCATCAACGTAGTCATTTTCAGTAAGTTTAATGTAAATTTAAAAGGAAGGAGAACTCATTTGTTTAGGAGTTGAAATATTTAGCTGTATAAGAATATCAGATAAATGAATAGTGTGACTCAAATTCATCATCATGTTCATTACCTTTCTCACCCTGCCCATGGACAAACACTTCCCACCTTTCTCTATCCTGGGCTAGCCTCTTGATGTTATTCCGTGCCTTCCCGCTTTTCTGTACCTCGATTTCTGTGATTCTTCTCCAGGTTCTTCCCCTTCATCTTTTACCCTGTGGATTCCAATCCAACACTTTCTCTTTTATTCAGCTGCCTCAAATTACTGTCAGTTAAAATGGGCCTGAGTACCACTGTTACTTTCTTGGAATACCTCTAATCTTGGTCACTAATATGACCTAATTGTGTTGCAAGTGCCTTAAAACTCTTTCTACAACAAATAGAAGTGAAAAAAAATGATGCTTCACACAGGGTTATCTCCTGCTGCTTGAGCCGTCATCTTCAGATAGGCCGCTGCCCAGTTTTCATACAGTTGTTTTTCTGTAAAAATTTTGTTAAAAAATCCCCCTTTTGTGGGTGGTTCATCATTGCCGTTCTCACCCTGCACCAGGGTATAGGCCACGAACAAACACCTTCCACCTTTCTCTATCCTGGGCTGGCCTCTTGATGTTATTCCGTGTCTTCCCACTTTTCTGTACATCGATTTCTGTGATTCTTCTCCAGGTTCTACGAGGTCTTCCCCTTGATCTCTTGCCCTGTGGGTTCCAATCCAGAACTTTCTTTGTTATGCAGCTGGCTGACTTCCTGAGAGTATGTCCAATCCATCGCCACCGCCTTCTTCCTACCTCATCTCTGACTGGGATCTGTCTTGTTTTCCTTAACACTTCCACATTGGTGACCCTGTCTGTCCTTTTTTGTGGGTGGTTGGTAGGTGTTCTTGTGTAGTGTGCTCTTTTCTTCCTGTCAAACATCTACTACTAACTGTCATCTCTCTTTATCTGTGGCTCTCTTGTGACCTATGGTGTGGTTTGCTCCTTCTTTCCTGTCAAACATCTATCGTCCTGATCTCTCCTCCTTCTGTTTTATGTTTGTTACTCTCTTGTCACACCTTTTTTCTTTGGCACTTAAATGACCTTATTGTGTTGCAAGTGTTGTAAAACACTTACTAAAACTGAACTGATGATTTTTCGATTGGTACTGGTATTTGTTTTTGCTCATTTGCAGCTCACCATGGGAACTACTTGGTTACTGCATCGTTTGATGGAAGTGCAAAGGTTAGTTATAGTCATGTTTACTGAGTGGGAAAGATCTCTACAAAGTAGATCAAGTGGACCAGAGGACGTGACCTCAGTGCTTTCTTGTCGTATCTCCATTTTTAGTTACAGTGAAAACAGTTCATAACAAAGAGTAAGCAAAACGAGAAGTCGCGTTTTCTCTGTTTAAAAAAAGTGGAGATATAATGGCAAAAAAGCACTGGGGTCGCGAGGTGTTGAGACGATATGATTAAAATAAAAGGACAGGCCAAGGGACTTTTGGTTCTTTCAATGGTCAGGTTGTCATTTGTTTTGTTTTTAGATTAATGAGATATTTCTATATATATGTATAGAGAGAGATGTATAATCTGAGAATAATATACGACAGTGAAAGAACTTGTTTTGTTAGTGTTTTGAGTGCTTAATCAGCTGCTTGCACTGTATACTTCCCGCGAAACTGAGGATGTTTATAGTGATATAGTGTAAAGCGCATAGAGCTTTCTTTAGAGCGAGGTTATGTGCTTAACGAATGCTATTTATTTTTTTCTATTATTATTTGTTTTTTTGTAGAGCGCTGCAAGCCTGTGGCCTAAAATTGAGTTTTGAGCCCAATGGAAAGTCATATATTATTTTTATGATGTCTTGCTAACCTTCTGAATCTTTACAAAGACTTTGAACTGTGACTTAGATGTTTCTACGATCTGTGGGAGATGTATTTTTCTTTCTCTTTTTCTAACCTTTTACGGGGTGCCCACTACAGCTGGATCGGGCCCATCGCCGGACTCGGTCACCTGAAACTGAAAACAAACACATTTGTTTTAGAGGCGATAGAGTCAGGCGATCGGCCCAATCGACCGATCCCATGCGTAGTGGGTACCCCGTATTATCCTCTCTGTGTGTGGTTGGGTTCTTCTTTCCTATCAGACAGCTATCGTCCTTATCTCTCCTTCTTTTTTGTGTTTGTTTCTCTCTTGTAACATCTGTAGTCTTCGGCACTTATATGGCCTTATTGTGTTGCAAGTGCCATAAAACACTTACTAAAACTAAAACTAAAAACTATCCTCTCCTGTTCTCAGATTTGGGCCCATCCGACGTGGGCGCCTCTGAAGACGTTGGCGGGCCACGAGAGTCGCGTGATGGGTCTAGACGTGTCCCGAGACCTCCAGTACATGGCCACCTGCTCCTACGACAGGACCTTCAAGCTCTGGGTCACCGAGCACACCGGAGGGCTGTGAGCAACGCTCTGCTGAGTAGTCGAAGTAGTGAGACCTGTGGCTCGTTTACCACTTTGCAGTCACACAGCCAGCAGTACAAAATACCGCATCTGGTCACCCAGCCAGGAGAGTGACTGTGCTACGAACTTCTCGGGCTTGGTGCAGAACTGTGCAAGGTGACCGGAACGAACAATTTTCTCCAGCGCATTTTTGCGTCAAGTGACCACAAAGTGTTAATGGGGGAGGGGGGGGGTGTTGTTGCATTGATTTGGCGGGGGGGGGGGGGGGGGCGGATAAGGGGATAAGGGATAATTGGAACATCTGCTCTTATGACAGAATTTTCTAGCTCTGGGTCACCGAGAACACTGGGGGACTGTGGTGAAAAGCTCTGAGCAATCTGCAGTGGAGTCCGCCTAAAGTGAACTCGCTTTATTTGAACAATCGGTTAAAGTGAACGATAGTCTGTGGTCTCGATTGAAACGCTATTTGTCTAAGTAAAAAAAAAGTGGATAAAATGAACCGGTGTCATGGGGAAATTGGATGAAGTGAACACCCAAAGTGAGTGAAAGCGAAGAACGGACCGACTGTGTCACTGTCGCCATGCTGTGAAAATAAAATCGGCAGACAATCCTAGCTCGGCGTTGGCGACGGCAATCTCAATCAGAAAGAAAGAGCTCTAGGCTCGCCCGCTGTGTTGTTCCCCCACCCCACCTCCACCCTAGACCCACCACTGCGCGTAGCTAGCTGTTTCTATAGGCCTCCGCCCGACCGAAATGGATAAACTGAACCTCAGATAAAGTGAACACTTTCTTCTGATCCCAAAGAGTTCACTTTAAGCGTACTCCTCTGTAATTAGTGGGACCTGTGGCTCATTTAGTTGGGGAGGGGAAGGGGGTGTGTATGAGGGAGGGGGGATGTTGTTGCTTTGATGGGGGGGGGAGGGGATAGGGGATATTTGGAGGGTGGGGCAGGGAGAGACTTTAATGTCACACAGTCAAGACTGTCACCAACGTAATTTTGTTATTGATTATTGTTTTAAGAAAATTTAATAAAAACAACAAATCAACGATGCTTTATTAAGTTTAAGTGTCAACCTTTTGACTAGAGAAAAAGTAAGAAAGTCTTACTTTTATTAATTGTATTTTCAGTCAACAAAATAATACATTGCTATATTAAGGATATGAAACAAGTAACTCAGGCATTTTTCAGGATATGAGGAACTGAAATCTGAGATACGGAAGTTTCCTGAGCATGGTTCTGTCATGTTTTTCTGTACACTGTCGAGGCTTGTACAACGCTGCATCGAGCTCTCTTACAAACTGATGTAAGGGAATGTTATGTTTTATTTGTTGTAACAATAAAGAATTCATTTGTACTTTTTTGTGTCTTTGTTTTCTTGTGTCTTCTACTACAGCTTTTGCGGGATTTCTGGGGTTTTCTTGTTCTTTTCTTCTTTTGTTTGTGGTTGTTTTGTGGGGGGGGGGGGGCATGAGTGAATCCTGACCTCTTCAGATAGATTGAGGGTGGTGTAAGCTGGTCGTTCTTGTTTTTTTAACTACCGTTGTTACCGTCTGTCCATTATTGCTTTGTGGGTGGTTCGTGGGGGGAGGGGGGGGGGGACATGAGTAAATCCTGACCTCTTGAGATAGTTTGAGGGTGGTGTAAGCTGGTCGTTCTTGTTTTTTTAACTACTGTTACCGTCTGTCCATTTTTGCTTTGTGGGTGGTTTGTGGGTGCTCTGGTATGTTTTGCTTTATAATTCCTATCAAACATCTGTCACTCTTGTCCTGATCCCTCCTCCTTGTTTTCTTTGTATGGTACTCTCTCTCTAGTAACCTCTCTAATCTTCTGCTGTTGCATGGCCTATTTGTGCTGCAAGTGCCATAAAAACTCTTACTAAAACTAACTGTGACCTATTCGTGTTATTTATACCTGCCTTTAAACTCTTCTTGCCAAAACTATAATAGTGCAAACACAGTGGGTCGTCCTTTCCTCCCCTTTCGCCTCCTCAAAAGTATGTGAGGAAAAGGAAGGCGAATGGGTTGGGGCATGACGTGACAGAGTAGGTACCACAAGTGATATTTCGAGTAAGATTTTTAGGGCACTGAAACACAAATAGGTCACATAAGCAGAGGCGGAGAGAAGATTGTTATTTGATGAGATGTGAATGTGTTACATCTATCCACCGTTCTATTCAGTGATGTACAGTGGAAACCTGATATAACAGGGATGGTGGGAGTAGAGAATAGAACGGTGGATGGATGTAACACATTCACATCTCGATCAAATAACAGTCTTCTCTCCGCCTCTGCTTAGTTAACTTCTACTGTCCTTACAAATACATCACTGAATAGGACGATGGATGGCTGGTGGGTGTTCTGGTGTGGTTTGCTCCTTTTTTCCTATCAAACATCTACACGTCTTTTATCTCCCCTCCTTCTTTTTTATGTTTGTTACTCTCTTGAAACACCTCTAAGTCTAACCTTTGGCAGTTATATGACCTAATTGTGTTGCAGGTTCCGTAAAACGCTTACTGAAAAAAACATCTATCGTCCTTATCTCACCTGCTTCTTTTGTTTTCTTTTTGTTTCCAGTTGTAGTAGTAGTAGTAGTAGACTAGTAGTAGTAGTAGTGGTGGTAGTAGTAGTAGTAGTAGTGGTAGTAGTAGTAGTAATAGTAGTTGTAGTAGTAGTACATGTAGTAGTAGTAGCAGCAGCAGCAGCAGCAGCAGTAGTAGTAGCAGTAGTAGTAGTAGTAGTCGTAGTAGTAATACTTTTAAACTTTGGTACTTATGTGACCTATTTGTGTTGCCAGTGCCCTAAAAATCTTCCTCGAACTATGTGAATAGCATGTTTGTGGCACGTAAAATTGTGCCCTCTCACAGTTCAGACAGTGACATGCTGGCCTGCAATGCAGGTCATTCTGGTTCGAATACCCAACTGTCATTCTTGAAAGTTTGGTGTATTATCGGAGATTGATGTTAGATTGGAGGTTCTGCCTCTAATAATAAGGATAATGATAGTAATGATAATTGGTCGTTTTTTAAGGACAAGCGCTCTAACTCAGATTTCAGGGGTTTCCAGAAATCTTGACCTACACCAAAAGTGAACATTGCCCTACCTATAGAAGTTTGGTTTCATTGGTGTGTATATTTGTTTGGTTATGAAGAAAACTCTCCTTGTTTTTTAAAGAAACTGAACAAGGGGCGAAATCTTTAACTTCGATTTTCTCAAAACAGCATTTTTCCGGATAGCCTGCCCTTGTGCTTAAAATTAAAAGCGACCAATTTCGAAAATGATGATTTGTCCTCCACGAACTGATGATGGCCTTTAACATCGTAGGTGAAGAGACATTATTATAAGACTGCTCACAACAGCAGGTAGCTGGCATGGAAAAAAGAAAAAGTAAAGTGGAGAGAATATTAGCCTAATATTCTCTAGCAAGCAACTTTGTAATGATCACAAACACCACAACCGGCCACAGAGAGCAGTGTCCTTCCCTGTCTAAAGTGGCGTGCTTATCTGTTTAAACATGCAACGGTAGGCCTACTATTACTAATATAGTTAGTGGGTAATCCGCAGAGCTAGAGTCATAGCAGGCGGCACGTGTCCATAGCTGCTCATCTCTCCTTCCCAGCATCCACCTCTGGGTCTTCCTGCTAATTGTCTCCATGAGGAGCTGGTTTGAGACACGCCTGACCACTCCTCGGAGCAAACTTTTTTTCGCTGTGCCCCGCCCACACTTTTCTTTTATTGTGCTGAGTGTGTGGGAGTCTGTCTCCTCTTGGTTGTGAAGGCTCTCCTTGCATCTGGCGATCACCATTGGAGCAGTTAGTTGGTTAAACTACTTAAACCTTCTTTTAATTATTATGTGAGTGGTTGGTGGGTGCTCTGGTGTGGTTTGCTCCTTTTTTCCTATTGTCCTGATCGTTCTATCGTTCTGATCTCTCCTTCTTTTTCATATTTGATACTCTCTTGTAACACTTCTAGTCTTCGGCATTTATATGACCTTACTGTGTTGCAAGTGCCGTAAAACTCTTACTAAAACTTTTTTCAAAACTTCTTATAATATTATGGCTTCGCTTTTGACCTTCAACTTGAAGTTCAAATTCAAGCGATATTCTTTAAGAGAATTTAATATTCCAGGAACGGAGCATGACGTGCGTTGCGCTGGACCAATGTCAAGGTCATGATTTGACTACTTCAGCGCTGTCTTGTCGACGCGTCTTATCGATCTCCATTTTTTAATAACAGTGAAACAAACAGTTTATATACAAAGAGTGAGCTTAAGAAGAAGTCACATTTTCACTGTTTAAAAAATGGAGATAGGACGAGAAAGCACTGAGGTCGCGATTGTTGACTGTCATGATTATCTCGCTTCTCTGGCTGGCTCTGCTTGACAGACTCTACTGGGTTTCTCACACGCCTTGCTGCCCTGATAAGTCAGGGCTTTACGCCTGAACCACGTCACTGTGGGTGGGCAAGACAAGGGGTGGCCGGCCCCACTCATCCACATCAATGGAGCAATCTTTCAGTAATCTTTATGGTGCCTTTTTATATCTTTCTTAAAGGGTGTGGAGGGTGGTTCGTTGCGTTGCTCTGCTGCGGTTTGCTCCTTCTTTCCTATAAAATGTTTAGGCTATCGTCCTTATCTCCCCTCTTTTTTTTAAAACTCTCTTAAGTTATTACAATACATGTACCTCTAATCTTCAGCACTTATTGTGCCCAGGTTGTGTTGCAAGTACCGTAAAACTCTTGCTAAAACATTTTTGAAGGGCATCAATGTTCCGCCTTCACGTCTCAGTTCTGAGTATTTTTTTTAAAAAGCTTTCTTTCGGGAGGCGTGTGTTTGGCAGTGGGACCAGACTTAGATCTAGTGTCCCGACTGACCATGAAAGCCGGATTTAATAGACCCTGCTTCTAAACCGAGCGTTAAAGCCATGCTAGCCTATGCCTAATCGTGATTTTACGGTAATGGGCGCATCAAACATCGCTCCAAGGAACGATTTGCGTTCGGTTGGAGGGTCTCGCTGGTAGGTCCTAGATTTGAAAAACTTTCTTTCACTCTGTTTTTTTTTTTAACGTTTCTGTCTGTTTGTACACTCACTTTTCGCTGAACTGAACGACCGTTAACGGAGACTATAGCTCACGACAGAGCTAGATGGAGAGCTCTTGTTCGTGGCATATGCCAAATGTCCAAAAATCGTACATAAACAAGATAGTTCACTCAGCCAAAAAAGTGTCCGC